GGGGGGGGGGGGGGGGGTGTAAGAAGGGTAGCTTTAATAGGCTTTCAGCGATCAGATAGTGAGAGACCTCTTTGTATAATGAAGCATCTGTCATTCCGTACTTTTCGAAAGTTCTGTCGCCGCAGCAGAATTCTTTATCCATGTGAGCTATTCGATTGACGTCAAAGTACACATGCAATGAGCCGAAACGCAAGCCAGCACCCAATGAGATCGGGATCTGTTGCCATGCTGGAAGAACATTGTATGAGCCTTCAAACGTTGCCAAAGTTCCTTCGATTAATTGCGAATTTCACGGAAAACTCGGGAATATTTTCCTTCCAATTTTTTCACTCTTAGCAAAATCTTAGTACCTGGCTGTGCCTTTCGAAACGAGAAGGATGTTGTTATCCATTCATAACATCTCGCCATCTTCCAGCCAAAGCATCACAAGCGCCATGCGACGTTTAAGAATTTCCGCCGTCATTTTATTTTTTTACAGAGAAATTGTTCAACGAAGTTGTCCAAAAATTTCACTGAATTTTCTTGTGCTGCTGATAACATTCAGTGTTTTCAGACAGATTCAACCAATACTCGGAGAAAAAAAACTTCGTGCATGGGACCCGAAGTTGAGGTCATATGCACATATGTATCGAATCACGTATCTAAAAACTTGAGGTCCAGCTGCCGAAGTTCGGGTCAGACATCGAGGCACTTCGGTCTGTGCCGGAGTACTTCAGATGTATGACCCGAACCCTTCGGTATATATCGAAGCACTTCAGATGTCTGACCCGAACTTCGGCAGCTGGACCTCAAGTTTTTAGATACGTGATCCGAAAACTTCAGAGATCCATGTGACCTCAACTTCGGGTCGCACCTACGAAGTTTTTTTCTCCGTGTAATTCCTCCGTAAAAAAATCAAATGGCGGCGGAAATTTTCAAACGTCGCATGGCGCTTGTGATTCTTTGGCTGGAAGGTGACAATCTATTCTACATGGAAAAAAAACCTCGTGCGTGGGACCCGAAGTTTAGGTCATATGGATATCTGAAGTTTCCAGATTGAGAATTTGAACACTTAAGGTCTAGCTGTCGGGGTTCTGATCACACATCTGAAACTTCAGTTCTTACATCTGAAGTAGTTCAGATGTGAAAACCGAAGTACTTCAGATGTAAGATCCGAACCTCGACAGCTAGACCTTAGGAGTTCACATGCTCAATCTGAAAACTTCAGAGTTCCATATAACCTAAACTTCGGGTCCCACGCACGAAGTTTTTTTCTCCGCGCGTGTAACATCTATTCATAACTTTCCTGAAAAATACATACTTCAGCGAGGCGATTTGGCAAGGTTCAACTGTCGGTGCGGTGTTCTCCTTCAAGACGGCATGCGGCAGTCTGCGCGGCAAGTTAATCCTCCCGATAAAAACCCGAAGTTTATTGGAGGGATGCGAGCGATGCGCACGGACGGCCTCACAATGGGTCACTACTGGCGACCACGGCTGCGCTGCGGCTCGAGTAGCGACTACTGACCCACATAGTTAACATGTGATGGGATTGATGTAAACGCGGGAGCCGCTCAGCTGACAATAATTGACACACGCGTTGACGGTCGCCCCGTCCCGGCTCGCCTCGCCTCGCCGAT